TAAACCGCTTAGAGAGGGCTGAAAGCCCTATGAAGCGGTATATAAGTCTACTGCTATTTCTTTTTGGACTCTGCCATTCAGAATTCTTTAGCTGATATGCCCACAACACACCTTCCCTTCCTAACTGAGTGGGACAGGCCAAAGTAGTGAGATGAAGATGGTTCTATAGGTAATCTGACTTTATTGTACTTGAGAGAAACATGTATGACAGAAAAAGAATTAGAGTATAATCATGACATGTGTATCATGTGCTACCATAACTGGATGGGTTTATAGTTCAGTCTAATTACATAATTTATTTTGTGTCTGGATATGAAACTACATACTAAGACATAACTTGTGCTATGTACATATGTATATTTCACATATAAATCATAGATGCAAGCGTGCACATGTATATGTTTAATTCTTACATTGAGGTTTTGTACAAAAGGAAGGCTGACCTTTTTAGATGTGCAAAGAAAAAAGTAGCATACTAAAATTCCAAAGCACATTTATTTTCCAAAGGCCTTGAATAAATTTATAATGTATAAAAATATTTTTATCATGCATGTCTTTATTTTTCATCCCTTAAATAACTACCTCATTATTGAGAACCTAACGTACTCAGAAGACTCACACTAGATAGGATTTAATTGGATTCTTTGCCATTGGCAAAAATAAAACCATATACAACCAGAACAGTAGTGGAGTATCAGAGATACACACATATTTGTAGCTGTATCATCTGTGATACAACACTAGATAGATATTTAACCTTTGTCTTGATGACTTTAGAAGACATTAATTTATATGAACATGACAGATAAATCTAGTCTTGGATCTACAGGTTTTCATTCCTTGTAATAATTTCTTTCATACTTTTCTTTTTCTTTTGTGAAAGAGAAAAATTCTCATTTCCCCAAATTTCAAATTAACTAGGTTGCTTGAGCCAATCTGTTGGAAGAGTACTAGGGACATCATAAAAGTTTATGTCCACTTGAAAAGTGTTTAATTTAATTAACCTTTAATTGAAAAAAAATTTGATCAGTAATAATAGCAAATATTCAGCTATTTATTTTATGTCTTCATTTGCATTTCTTTTAGGTTTAAAGTTTTCTTTTTATTATTCTAGCTCCCAGATAGTGAGGGACTAGACTACATTAATTCCTTGTGGCAAAATAGAAGAAAAAGAACTGAAGAAAAATAAAAAAATATATAATGTATTTTGCTGATATTGATGGAATATCTGTGGCAAAATAAAACAAAGATAGTGCCAATAGTAATAGCCACCTTAGATACAATCCCAAAATATCTGGGGCATTCCTTGAACACCATCCACATTGACACAATCATAACCAGCCAGTTGCAAAAGGCAGCTTTACATGGATAGCTTACATACTGATATTTTAAGTTCATAGAACAACATCTCCCTATCCGAGGGAAGGACTCAATAGGTAGCTAAAAATATTAAATCCATTCTAACAATGTAGCTGATTGTGCAACAAACAATAATAATATAACAACAGCAACAAACAATTGTGTAAGTGTATAGTGGGATATTTTCTGAAAATGTTTCTTTCCCACAGAAATATCTGAAATCTTTAGGTTATTCAAAGAAAAAAAAAACAGAAGAAAAATGGTAAGAACATATGTAATTTATTTCTCTATAACTGGAAATAAGTCATTGTTTACTGCCTTTAGAACTAAATAAATTTCAGCATGGAACAATGAAAGTGACATGTGTGATTTTTTTTTTGCAACTTCTAGAGTTTCCTATAATCATGATTGCTGAAAATGAGAATCAGTTTTTGACCTTTCTGTAGCCCTATAGCAAGCATATTACAAAGGAAAAAGGAACACCAAAAGGTCTTATGCAAATGTCAAACCTTTACATTTAGACAGTGTGACTGACCACTCAGTGATACTTAGCATCTGCTTCTTCATGTTGAACGATATTGAAGATGTTTCTGTCTTCCAAAAGTACACTGCCAAGAGTTAAATTGAACAGAATAAAATTTGACTGAATTCATTTCACCGAATTTGTTGCCTATGCAAAATTTATAAAATCTCTTTCTTTCTTTCAATAAAGGACAAATTTTCTAAACTGCCAGCTTCTGCTTCCAGGTAAAGAACATACTATAATCTTCTTTCTTGATTTATAGTCATTGAAATGGTAGGTATAAATCTTAATGCTAATTTGCCCCATCAAAGTGGCAATCCTAAACTTACTAACATTTGAATTATATATCCAATCACATCAATATTTTGCCAAGGAGGAAGAATAAAAATTTCATAACTCACAATGAACAACTCTGTCATTCACAGTAAATGCTGATCCTGGAGCAAGCCAGATTTCAGAGGAATCTGCTAAAGTAGATTTAGCTTTTATATGGTTGGTCAGATAAGAAGCAGTTCTATCCATTAGTTTAACTTTTGGTTTCAGTAAAATATGTTCACAAAGTGTCACTGACATTTTATTAATATAATATGTATTAATTTTGAGTAATCAGTATTATGATATATTGATGCCTGTTATCAAACATATAAAAATTAATATTGTCTTCTGCTACTTGGCTGACACCTACTCTTGATGATGAGCAAAGAGGATATTTGTCAATTATATTTCCTCTTCCTTTTAATTTACAAACCACTATATACTCACACATTGTTCTAATAACCTTAATTTCCCCAGGCTACAGTATACATTTTTGTATGGACTTGACGTATGCTTTCTGAAAATTTTAAATTTAAATTGCAGATATAATCATTTAGAAAAAAATTAAAAATATAATCTTTGGTTCTAAATTTTTAATAACATAATATACAAGAGAAGAAAAAAAAAACTAACCACCTTCTATTTGCATACAATTGTATCTTTTTGCATCTACACTTGAAATCATTAAGTGACCAGGTTACTTCAATATTTCAAGCATTGTAGATAGGGAGTGTTTGAATGATGAGTGATTTCTACCTTTCTGCATTTCTTTCCAAATAGTGACATCAGGATTTCAAGAGATATATCAAATCATGAAAAACAGCATGTAGAGGCAAGAAAACGCATAGTGCAAAAATGTCTTCAGAAGTTTCACATTGAATGTCCCAAGGTAAAAATTCATACATAACATTGGAAAACATGTTAAGAGTGTTGGGGGAGGGGAAGAGTCAGAATTTGCTTTAATTTAAGGTTGCTTTAATTTAAATTAAACAACTTAATAAGCAGCATAATAACATACTATATAGTAAATCATTGATACCCCTTTTTCACATTCAAACAAAAGCAAATTTGAAGGGGCTTATGAGATACAACTAGGGTTCAAGGCATGAGTGGATCTATACAGCAGATGGCTCTTTCTTAGGGAAAGCAGAAAAGTAATGGCTCCATTGTTGATGAAATTTCTAGCAGTGGTTTACCTATAACCTGCCCAGGAAAAAGAGGGGTAATCTGCTATTGGTTGAATTAAGGTTTAGTAAAGCTGATTTTTTTAAAAAGAAAAGATCTAAGAAAGAAGATAGACCATAGTGGGGTAGAAATAAATGGATCTGCATGAGAGATTGGAAGGAAGAATGAATTGGAAAAATAGGAGACAATGAAAAATATTTGAATGAATGTCAAATTCATTTCAACAGCAGCTTGATAATTAAGAAAAGTGTATTTTTGTGTTGAATTCATATATGGTACTAAATCATAACTTGTTTCATAGTAGTTTGTTGATGATATAATAATAGCTGGTTTCACACAGCATGCTAAGCTATAAACCATAGTTTACAAAGTATAACATTTGGGTTCATGCAATACATTTAGCCACACTAACAAATATTATTATATATTAACAAATGCCTGAGTACATGAGTAAAGAATTTGTGGTACAAAAAAGCAATCATATTCATAGGGCATTTTGTTACTATTATAATGAAAATTTTAAGTTTTTGTAATTAATTGTACATGAACAGAATAAGTTCATAATTGGAAACAGAAGAGAAGAAGTCATGGGAGAATTACATGCTAAATTTTAAAAGACACATTATATGTTACGAGTTTAGGTGTAAAATAAGGTTCTAATTGACAGATTTTTAATGCTATGATAAATGACATTTCCGAACACACACCCGCCATTCATCAAATATTTAAGAGTTCAGTGTTCAACTTGACCAGTGGATATTATCAAAAATAATAATTATTTTTTCTGCCCCCAGGACAATTTCCCCACTGTTGCTGTACTGGGTTCAGGTGGGGGACTGAGGGCTTTAATTGCACTGCAGGGAACCCTGAGAGAGCTGCAGGAACATAATATGCTGGATACAGTGATGTATCTTTGTGGAGTATCAGGTTCAACATGGTAAGTGGCAACAAACTATATTGGTGGATGACTTATACATTTATAGACATAGCACCTGAACAAAAGGCAAGACATCTGATAAAATTACCTCTATCAATTCTTCAGGCTGTAGGTGGATGAGTCTATGACATGGGGATGGCATTTGAAAGAATAGAGACATAGCTGGAAGGAGAGAGGAGTTTTAAAAGTCTTGATATTTAAAATCACATGTCAATTCTTGAAAATAAATAGCTTTTTCACTAAACAAGTCTTCCGAGTAAGTCAACCTTAAACATTTGTCCAGTAGTTTTATATGTATATATTAATCACTCCCACAGCCATCTAGATAGGGAAAAACCCTCTTTCATGACCTATTTTCTCCAAGGAGTCATAAATAAAGCACACATGCCATTCTTTTTAGCTTTTTGCACAGAATTCTGACAACCACTACTTTTTGTTCCTGAACTAGGAACTAAAAATAATTATTGGGATTTGCTGGGACATATTTTATGGACAGGAACATGACTGCTACTATCTCAGGCAAAATAGAAAAGTTGGGAAATGTGCATTTTTTAACCCTTAGTTTTCAGGTTTGGGGTAATCCTCCACTATTGCTGTGCCAACATTTACCTATTTTCAAGGTGTATGTCATACATTTATGAAAATGAAGAATGGGGAAAACAACTAAAGAGTTTGGAAGATAAGTTGTGTGAAAGACTGGTAGATCCACACCAGGACTGGAAGAAAATATTAAAAATATTAAAAAACCTGATTGAGCCAAGTAAAGATGACACATACTCCTTGACTGATTTCTGGGGTTATTTTGTAGCTTACATAATACTGAATGAAGTGAGTATAAAGAATTCCTTTTAATAAATATTTTATTGTTCCCTAGAATATGATGGATGCTGTAACTGTTTTAAGTGATTTAAGAAACAAACATGCAAATGTTCTCACGAAACAATAATGCTATATCTTTTGCACTTTTTCACTCTACCCTGCCACAACTGCTTTAGGAAGGAAGAAAAGGAGGGAGATAGGAAGGGAGAGAGGAAAGGAGAATAATGGATAACTACTTTCTTATGGAAGAAAAACAAAATGGAAATTATTATTGTAAAAATACAACACATGAGATTGTATTTAATATTGAGGAGTGGAATGTTCCAACTCATTCTCTTCCATTCCACTCTACTGTATTCCATTCCAATTTCTCAGCATTTTTCCCCCTCAGTAGTATCAGTAGTGAGTATCCTTAAGCATATGAAATTTTCATTGGACTCTCAGAAAGAAATCATTTGTTTGTAAAGTTACATGAAATAAAAGAGAATTTTTCCTTTTCTTATTTTAAGACAGTAGCTTCAATTGTGGGGACTAATTAGTGGAAAATAGTATTTATAAAACGTAACACTTACCTACATGGATGTACACTTGATTAAAATCCTTTGTCTGAAGTAGACTTTTATATTAATAGGAAAGCTAATGTATCCTTCAGACTGTGCTTCATTTTTGTGTGGAAGAGATTTTGTCATGACATTTTCTAAGTATCCATATTAAAGTAATTTAACAAGCCCTGAAGTTGGCAAGATTTTGGAAATGGTTTGCTCTTGCTTCCCAGGGCTAAGAGAAATTATCCACCTGGCTTTCTTCCTAAAGCGGGATTAGGACTCACAGTGTCCCAGAACTCACATATATTCAAGTGCTAATTAAACCCATATAGTTTATATACGATATGTAACTTGGCTTGGATTATTTGCTTATGAGTTTCTTTCTCAACAGCTGGATGATGATCATCATCTGTCTGATGAACAGACAATTTGTAAGAATGGGATAGTTCCTTACCCAATCTATGCAGCAGTGGATGCAACCAAATTAGATGATGCAAATCGATTCCACTCAGGTAAACACTAAAATCTATCTATGTTTATCACAACTTTCATTTTGAAATCAACACATGCTGGATTCTGTCT